TTGGTGTAGGGTTGTAAAACAAGTGGTTGGTGTAGGGTTGTAAAACAAGTGGTTGGTTTGTAGGGTTGTAGGATAGAAGGTCAATGTGTGGGGTTGTAGAACAAATGGTTGGTTTGTAGGGTTGTGGGTCAAATAGTTGGTTTGTAGGGTTGTAGGACAAGTGGTTGGTTTGTAGGGTTGTAGAACAAGTGGTTGGTGTAGGGTTGTAAAACAAGCGGTTGGTTTGTAGGGTTGTAGGACAAGTGGTTGGTTTGTAGGGTTGTAGAACAAGTGGTTGGTGTAGGGTTGTAAAACAAGCGGTTGGTGTGTAGGGTTGTAGGACAAGTGGTTGGTTTATAGGTTTGTAGAAGAAGAGGTTGGTTTATAGGTTTGTAGAAGAACAGGATGCCTTGAAGGTTTGTAGTAGAAAAGGTTCATTTGTAGGGATGTAGGACAAGTGGTTGGTTTGTAGGACAAGATGTTGGCGTGTAGGGTTGTAGAACAAGATGTCGGTTTGCATAGCTTTAAAATGGAGACGTTTGTTTGACAGAAAGCTCAAGGGGGCTTAGAATCCCGTGAGAGGTCAACGAGGGCTGGCCCTGAGTCCCCGGGGGTGACAGTTCGTGGGTGGAGAGACCATCTCAACAAAACATTGCTGGATTTAAGTCTCCAGACTGAGGTGACTCGAGCACCGCACAGAGTACATACGGGTGTCATTCATTTAGCCTAGACACACCCTCCGTGGCTAGCAGGATTTCACGGGGATCTACCGAGGAAAAAAATGCATTATCGATTTCGGTGTTGGCGATCTTTAAAAACGTCAGTTTAACAGTAATTCGATGACGGTTGCATCGGTCTTGAGCCTGCTTGGGAAGTCGGATGGAGTGATGTCCCATTCTATACTTACAGCTGGAGTGATGTCCCTTTCTATACGAGTAGAAGGTTGAAAATGTAAGTAGTTTACAAGGCAACAACGTAGTTTAGAGGTTTTGTTGAGTGTAGGGGTTGCATAGTTTTATAGGTTTTGTTGAATCTAGGGCAGGCGTAGTTTTTTTTTTTAGAAGGGAGGGTTTGCTGGGACTAGATGGAGAGAGGGGGGGGGGGTTGGACGAGAGATAAAGTTGACACAAATAGCCGAAACGAATTCCTATTTTGATGACACTCTGTATTTTTTGACGATGACGTTTTTTTTTTTTTAAACACTAATCAAATTTGTGAATAAGTTAAACCCGCTTAAAGACCAAGTGGTTCAGAATGTAAGTCATATTTTTTTTCTAATATCCATTGATATCCGTAGAACCAGATTAGTTTTCTAGTGTTGGCATTGAATCCGGGATCAATCCATAGGACGTCACTGAGTCCACCCAGCTCTGATGGGTACCTAACTCACGTTAGGTTAACAAAGGCGACTGGGTACAGTGCTTAAACACGCTATCCCCTTCTAAGCCGAGGTCACTGTAACTCTACTTCATCTGCCCCATGTGGTTTGGCAACAAAATTTAAAAGATTATACTATGTATATAAATTCTATTCTAAAGGCTTTGATAGCAACCTTTATGTTTTGATTATATCACTATTAACTTTTTTTTTAGCTCAAAACAAACTTGTATATACATAGTCCCGCACTCTTTTCTAGACGATGATGAGCATGCTAACCAAAGAAAATCCTCTTTACAATCTCTTCAGATAAGTCTACTACACTCTAAAAATAACAGAGTGTAATTTTTTTAAACTGCTGCGGGTAATTATTGCAAATGATAACGACATGTGACGTACACATTTTCAGCTCACCACTTAACACGTGCGGTTGCTTTGGCCGGCTTAAAAAAAAAACCAAAATCCCTAACGTTTATCAAATTAGTGAACAAAATAAAAACCAATGTTTTAATTGAATCGTTAACTTCATTGATTAAACAAATTAATTCGTTTCGTGTCCTGGCGATTAAAGTGTTTAAAACATTAATCTGTAGCTGTTTTTATTAATGTTGTTGTTCAGCATTTAACTTATTTGTTTAAAAAACAGAGAATGGCTAATATATTAATAGGTTTTATATAAGCAGAGAAATATAATATATTAGTGGTGTGAAAAATAAACAGGATTACAATTTTAACATTGATATATTTTTCATTTTGATATATTTTAAAAATTATTTTTTATCCTCAATAAATTTTGTTCCGTCTTTAAACGTTGTTTCATTTTTTTGAAACTCATTTACCCCATAGGAAGCAAAACAATCCTACTAATTAAAAAAAATACTATTCTATGGCGTATAATGGTCAGATAACGGCTAGACGAATAAAATTGTCTAAATGGTTAACTATTACAGGTATTATCTATGCAAACTTTGTCAATTTTTAATAATGTACATTATATATATATATATATATATATATATATATATATATATATATATATATATATATATATATATATATATATATATATATATATATATATATATACTTTAGAAAAAAAGTGCCTAGGGAGTCGGCGATCCCTCAGCTCCCCCACTGCGCACGCCTTAGGTACTAGTCTGTTTTTTTCTTTTAATAACCAATACAAGGCGAGTAACTCCTTTCTTTCATCCAAGAACACACCACGTACTTCTTTGATAACCGCAAAGGAAAATTTAATTAACTCTACCTTAATTAAACAATAATTTATCGATAAGCAGGTCACAACAAAGCTTGCACTTTTAATTCAAAACTTTTAAAAAGAACTAAATTGATAAACAAAATAATTAAAAAATCGATTAAAATAGGTTATCGATGCTGGATTTTATCGGATATTACGTAGAATTAGAATCGAACCCCGCTTGATTATCCGACCCCGTATGAAAGATCTTCGAGTGTTTAAAAATAGAATGAGGGTCGAGGGTCCAGATTAGGATCATAGAGGCGAGGAGGAAGAGGCGGAGAAGGGAAGAGATAAAAAGAGGAAGTGCAGTATTCGATTTAGAGCGGAAGTGCTAGAGGATTTTTTATGGAAATTGTAAACATAACACGGGGGGAAGGGATAGAGAATGGGGAAGGTTGAAGGAGGTCTGGCAGAAGTGAGAGAGGGCACGGGGAGTGGGCATGGGGAGCAGGGAGTGTGTGGGCAGCATACGTGGGTGTGGGTGGACTGGCCCATTCATATGTTTCAATGAATCTTTACCGTTTAATATATATATATATATATATATATATATATAGTGAATCATACTTTAATGATGATGTTCTGTGAAAAAGACCGTCCAATACGAATGTCTATTTTCTCCTTACATTATTATACTTGAACAACTTGCCCCGAGGCATCTCTTAGGAAAATAACGGAACTTGTTCCGAATTTAGGAGACTTGGTTCGTTATCATATCAAAAGGCGAACATTTGAAGGAAAGTTTATCCTGAGGCGAACACCTACATTTATGTAGGCGTATGTTAGCTTTATTTTTTTTTATTGTGAACTGTTAAGGAGCAGGCGATGTATAATATGAACGAATGCACTGTGGATATTCTTTAGTAAGATAGTTTCTAACAACGACTGCCTTCTAGGATGTACAAAGACTATGGAAGAAAATCCAGAAAGAAAAATCAAGCTGCGTCAACGAGCCATTACATGTAGACACGTAACACTTAATCCCCTCCACAATAAACTTGAAGAAAAAAAAACGAAAAACAAAAACCAAAATCAAGACCAGTTCTACCACTAAAAATAGTAGCATATAACAAACGTGAAATAAATATAACTGGTTTGAAATACTTTAATGATATTCTCATTCATTTAAATTAAGTGAAGCGCATTTCGCTATTTTAGTTTTTTTTTTGTAAACAACAATGAAAATGAAAAATGTTTATACTCATGTTACAGTTTGTAAATTTTAATTTTAATTTAATTAACGAAAAATAAAATTGTCAGCAAAATTAAAGCTTAATATTTCATGAAAGCTGATATTTTGTTTGTAAAAAAACATTAAAAGAAAATGAATGTATGTGTTGTAACACATCACACTACTTTAAAATAACTTATTATAACGCTAATTACATATTAAACTAATGCATTATTTCCAATATCTAAATTTTATATAAGTTTAAACCTAAATAATTGGATAATCATGAAATAACGTTATGTAAAAAGAGCATAAGGACATTTTATATAATGTAAAGAGAAAAGTGTGTTCTTGCGAAATTTTTCTAGAAAATTTGAATTCAGCAGGCATTTTCAAATTCCTGGTGTAAAAAAAAATAACGATGCAATCCCCGAGAGATTTTTATGCTTGATTAAACATGGATAAAGAATAATTTTTTGTCAACATTTTATGTGTTTTTATTTCTTCAAGATGGGGATAATTTTTTTTTTAAATAAATATCTTGAATATTTCGCGGTCAGAAGTTCGGTTAGATTATTAAAATGAGATATGTTTGAAGTTATAATGACAGAAAAATTGAGGTACAGTGCTTAATTAAATAAGTTTGGCAATTTCACAAGTAATTAATAAAGAAATACAACATGTATAGTTACGTAGCACATATATTTGATTCAAACTATTATTTAGTTACAATTATAACCATAAAATATCAGTAAAAATTCATCTTGAGTTATATATTTTAATAGAGTTTAAAATATAGTTTATTATTAGGGGTAGTACCAATACATATAACAAAACAAACATCTGAAATTGTTTTTCTAGAAGAAATGTTGAATAAGTTTTCATGTAAAAAGCGGCTTGTACGGTACAAGCTGAATCGGAGGGGAGGAAGGGAGAGGGGGGGTGTGGGTAAGTATTAGTGTCCCACCAAACTCTACGCAAGCCTCTTCCAAAGCCCCTCCCACAAAATAAATTAATCACATAACATTCCTTACACTCCAACCAAACCTATCATTCCTACCCACTGCTAAACACATAAGTAACAACGCATCTAATATCTTTCATCAACACTGTATGCAAGAATCATACAAAACCGACCTCATCGACCTGAGAGAATGACGTCACACCAACACCACAAAGTCACGTGCTACGGCCCCCTTCTCCTGGCTCATCATGGAAGGACAACAACGGTCCCCAGATTGGGTGAAAACATCGCCCGACAAACTGGCCACATTTGTCGCCAGGGACAACAACCTGCGGCACTCTGGCCTGTAGACTTTCAAAACAGTCTGGGCCCGACCCGGAAACGTCAAACCGAAAGTACGCTCCGGAACTAAAAGACCGCGGTGATCACGTTTGGAAATGCTCCGTCTACGACCAATCGATGGACGGATTCAAAAATACAAGTCCCTACAGACTCTGTTTGTAAATATAAATAAATAAAGTTCACGTTTATGTCACTGAGTTGATGAATCTACAAATGCTACACACTATGGCACGCACCGAACGACCTTATGTTGTTTACAAAATCTTCCAAAACATTAACTTTTTTCGTTTACATTTTTTTTTATTATGTAGGCCTACAGCCGATCTCACAAATATTGATGTTTTTTTTTTAAATTTGAAAGCTATTTTTATAAAAATAGTTTTTAGATAATGTATTTTTTAAAATATGTATAAAACTTCCCAGCAATTTTATGATAATACGTTTCTTTTTATCCTTTTTTAGTAAAAAACATTGATCTCTTTCGAGTGTTTTAAAAAGTTATTTCTCATAGTGATAGTCTTGTAAGTACTGTCTTTCTCTTCTCTTTCCTCATAGGCTATAGCACTTTAGTTTCTACATTTCTAATACAAAAATGATTATATATATATATATATATATATATATATATATATATATATATATATATATATATATATATATATATATATATATGTATATATATATATATATATATTTATATATATATATATATATATATATATATATATATATATATATATATATATATATATATATATATATATATATATATATATTCAGCTATCAATGAATTAATTTAATGACAAGAATAGACATATTGTTCATAAATGCTAGAGAAAGAAACGCGGATGTTTACCATTGAGCTGGCTACTACACTCACTACGGCGCTAAAAGCTCTTGATTGTTGAACTATGGCCAAGTCTATTGTAGCATTGTAGAAAGGTAAAGGTACTATTGGTAGTCCTTTAAGGCTAGAAATGCGTGTTTACTTAACTAAGAGTATCGATTTGATTCGAGGTTAAGAATAGTGTTTTATACATTACAATGTTGGCGTTTTACAACTGTCTGAGTTGGTGCGTATTTTTAAATATTTTTTGTTACAATAGTTTTATAACGTACAGCATTGAAACGCTTTGGTTAGTAGTTTATTGCTACGTTTTATTTTTTCTTTAACTTCGTAAGTGTTGTATAACGAACGATGCTGGTAAGGTTTCGGTTAGAAAGATATGATAACGTGAGTACTGTATCGATTCTCATCTATCATCGAATCCCATCTAATTTAGATCAGATAACGACAGCTTTGCTGGTACATAATAATTTTACAAGTCAATGCGACAACAAGTCTCTCTCGAAGCTATTTTAAGATTTTGTTTTATTTGTTTTTCAGTTTTGGTCGTGGAGAAGGTATAAAAACAGATATTTTATTTAAGGGGAAGAAACAACAAACAAAAAATAATGACGTAAATTGCTTTTTCCTCGATTTATCCGAAACAGTTAAATAATTTTTGTGTCGTCGGCCAAACAAAGAAAACGGTTTTAGAAAAAAATGTGGATTTTAGAGAAAATTGTATAAAACGACCGAAAGAAGATTTTAAGATGAAGAAATAATTTCTGATAAGAACTTAGCTGAGGTTTTATAAAAACCATTTGTTCCGCTCAGATATGGTAGAAATTAGAAGGCTGTGTTTAGAGCTCTGATGTAGAAAAAAATGTAAAATAATTATTAAAACGGCTGAGGTATGTAAAGCTGGATATTTTAGTTTAAGGTCATGGATGTAGGAAGTAGAATGGGGGTCGCTTATGCCAGGGGTCAATAGGCCAAGGGCGTGGGGTCGTTCAGTATTAGGGGCTGGAATGTAGTAGGTGGTATGAAAAGGCTTGCCTATAGTAATTTGAAGATTCGTATTTGTGAAAGTGTAAGGGGGCATTACATAATGGTAATTGACACAACCGAAAATAGTCTGGAAATTATTTGAAATATGTATAAAATCATTTACGATTTTTAAAAAAATTATTTATAAAAATCTGACTGTTTGATTTTTGGTGGACTTTACTAAATATCGAATTTATTTGATGTTATTAGTATTTGAGGTTGTAAATGTTTTTGTTTTAAAGTCAAAAGCATTTTGGTTTTTTTTTACATTTTATCAAAGAAAATGAAAACGCATGTAGTTTTAAAAAATATATATTTAAAAATTTTCTCGGCAATGTTTTGAGAACAAATTACTATCGATCACGGAGTTCCTGTACAGCCAATCAATGTTTGTCTTTCGAAAGTGAAACATCTGGTTGTATTTTAGGCTTGGTGAAAATAAATAGAAATGTAAACTAAAACTTCAACAAATAAATGTATCTCTAAATTTGCAATAGCTACAACACTGTTGCTAAAAATATTAAATTTCTTAATTATTTTCATGCTTAAGCTACTTCTATTCACCTCGTTACAACGTCTATAATTACACGAAAATCAAGCAACGGGCAGAGGAAACAACCATTGAATACATTTACGTACAATTGTTTTAACTTAAATAGATCTCGAGTCTGAAACATCTTTAAACGTGAGTACACCAGAAGCAGACGAACGGATTCTACACCTGGCCAGTCTCCCACCTGGCCAGTCTCCCACCTGGCCAGTCTCCCACCTGGCCAGTCTCCCACCTGACCAGTCTCCCACCTGACCAGTCTCCCACCTGGCCAGTCTCCCACCTGGCCAGTCTCCCACCTGGCCAGTCTCCCACCTGGCCAGTCTCCCACCTGGCCAGTCTTACACCTGGCCAGTCTCCCACCTGGCCAGTCTTACACCTGGCCAGTCTCCCACCTGGCCAGTCTCCCACCTGGCCAGTCTCCCACCTGGCCAGTCTCCCACCTGGCCAGTCTCCCACCTGGCCAGTCTCCCACCTGACCAGTCTCCCACCTGGCCAGTCTCCCACCTGGCCCGTCTCCCACCTGACCCGTCTCCCACCTGGCCAGTCTCCCACCTGGCCAGTGTTACACCTGGCCAGTCTCCCACCTGGCCAGTCTCCCACCTGGCTAGTTTCCCACCTGGCCAGTCTCCCACCTGGCCAGTCTCTCACCTGGCCAATCTCTCGCCTGGCCAGTCTCCCACCTGACCAGTCTCCCACCTGGCCCGTCTCACACCTGACCAGTCTCCCACCTGGCCAGTCTCCCACCTGGCCAGTCTCCCACCTGACCAGTCTCCCACCTGGCCCGTCTCACACCTGACCAGTCTCCCACTTGGCCAGTCTCCCACCTGGCCAGTCTCCCACCTGCCCAGTCTCCCACCTGGCCAGTCTCCCAGGCCTCCAGACGGCCAGTAATGGGTTAACCCTTTGGTTAGTGTTTAATTTAAAACAAGTTCTATAGTTGGAAACATTTTTTAAAGCAAATGCCCATATAAAAAATTTGAAAAAAAAAACAGTTTTAGCTGATTATGTTTATTCTTAGATCTGCTTTTCCAATTATAAATCCAACGCGAAAACTGTGGCTAGAAAGAAAAATTAATTGTAAAACTGTTTGAATAATTTGTAATGGCGTCACAAAAATAAAATAATTATGTCTTGTTTACTATCATTCAAAATACGACTAATTGTTATTTAAATATACTATAATTAACAAAATTACTGTTAAAATTAGTTTACAATTTTAAAACCTTTTTTCTATAATTAAAAAATCAATTATGTTTTTGAAATAAGAGTTTAAATCTATTTTACTTTAGGGTTCAGGATTAAATGTGGGATATAGCCCTGCGGAAATGCTTTTTCGTAATCGCAACAAACGGCAAAGTAATTAAATTATTCGTTAAGAGCCCGCATTTTATATATACAGGTTGATGCCAACGCTCTGATTTAAAAAAATGGCAGTCTAATCGTAATATTTATTAAACCCAGCTAGCTAAAAACCACTTTCTGGGGCATGGTAATATAAAAAAAACGAAACAAACTACGCTAAGAATAAAATATTGTATTATGGAATTTTTAGTCGATTTAAAAAAAAAATCGATAAAAATAATGTAAAGATTTTTTAACGACGGCTATTTGTTGTAAATCAGCAGGCTGTAGAGCTGTAAAGATGAAAGCTTTACGGTTTTATGGGCGGCCCAGAACTCGGAGATTTCTTCTGGGCCATTTGGAATAATTAAAATCATGATCGTAATGGATGAAAGGACGGCGCAAGGGCTGAATAATACAGGCGCCCGGAGTCGTAACTTTGTGTAGATGGTGGATGCAGTTGGTGCTTGATGTTTATATACGTCAAAACAGCCCCCCCCCCCCCACTCAATATTTTAATTACCTTTTTGCAAGTGCCCGGAGTCGTAACGTTGTGTAGATGGTGGATGATGTTGGTGCTTAATGTTTATATACGTCTAAACAGCCCTCCCCCTCTCCCCCTACCACTCAATATTTTAATTACCATATGGCATGTGCACGGAGTCTTGAAGTCATATAGATGGTAGATGTTGTTGGTTGTTGGTGCCTATTTACGTTGTACCACATAGCAACCCCTTTCCCCCATCATTAAATATTTTAATTACCATAATGCAAACGTCGAACAACGAAGCACACCGCCCCCTCTCCCTACCTCCACAAACACTTTCAATGTTGTAATTGAAATATTTATGCCCCTTTCTTTACCCATATGACCTGTCACGGTTAGCCGTCTCTCTCCAATTTCTCTAGCCTAGGATTATCACAATCTCTCTCCCTGTCTCTCTCTCTCTCTCTCTCTATCTCTCTCTCGTTATCTTAACCTCTCTATTTTATAACTCATAATTTTCTGTGCTTCCCCTCATGTCCCTCCCGTCCCCCCAACCTCAATTTACTTACAACTCACATATCTTTATCTAATTTCTTTACATGTCTACCTTACCTATCGCTTTCTTTTCGTCTCTTGTCAATTATAACTCTTCATTTATCTATCCCTCCTTATGAATCCCCAACCCTCCCTCTCTCCCTCCTCTCTCGTCCACACACCAACCCTTACATCCCCACCCCGGAGCCAACAGAACTCCCCACCCCTCGGCTTTTAAATGTAACACAGGGTTACCCAACCTGAGATGTATGCTGCGACACGCCTGACGGATTCTCGAATGTTCTTTTTAACCCTCCCGCCTCGTTCCCAATCTCAGGTTTGTCTGCCATAATCCAAACACATTTCAGACCTCCAATACGCCTCGATCCGTGCGATATCCATTATAATAGAACCAGGGGAAATAAATGTTCACTTCATAATAGTTTTTGTTGATCTATTTTTTTCCCATTGATGTTGTCGTTGACAGCCATTTACAAATGTTGGATGTTAACTTCCGGGTTTCGAAAACAACCAGGTCGACAATAACATCAATTGAAATAAAAAAAACAACAATGTATTCAATAAAGTTACATTGTGTTCGTGTTCAAAACAGTTAAAAATATATAAACTAAAATGTGTATTACAACAGTTTAAAAGGTAAATTTAAAGTAGGATAAGCTTCGTTTTAAAATTCTTCGAATTAAAGACAAATGTTCGATCGCGCGAGTTGATACACGCGTACCTTAATATATATATATATATATATATATATATATATATATATATATATATATATATATATATATATGAATTTAGATGCGCATTTACAAAAGTTCCCAATAGCAAACAGTGCCACCTGGGGTGCCAACTCCCCTGCTCCCCCTAGTCACGCCACAGACAGCAAATAGCCGAGCATGTTGTGTTGACGGGGGCAGCACTTTGCGGGACTGCATCCATTTCTCTGTGAGTTCCCATGGGGGTCGGCACATAAAGGAGGCGGTTGATCACATGGTGATGTTGTCAGTTTATTGAGGGGAGGGGTGAGGTTATGGGGAGGAGGGAGGTCAAGGAGGGTGTCAGTTTACAGAAGGAGGGATTGGGTTGGAGGAGAGAGGTTAGGCAGGGTGTGAGGTTAATGAAGAAAAAATTTGGAGAAAAGATGTTATGTGTACATATAAGATGAAATGAACAAAAATGCTATCATAACAGTTGTGTTTAGTTAAAAATTCAATGAAGTTATGAATATAATTGGGAGATGTTATTGATAAAGTGGAGAGCTGTAATAACCATGAGGATATGTGATGGTAAGAAGACATGTAGAGTTGAGAGATATGGCGTGTGGGGAAATGAGATGAAAGGAGATGTAATAGATAGAGATATCAGTTGTACAGTGTCGGGTATGTGATAGAAAAGATGGAAAGACGTATTATAAGAATCGGGAGTCAAAATACAGCAGGAAAAGAAAACTATTATAGAGCTGTGTATTTTGATGAGTGGTTAAGTGAGATAGTTAAGTGAGATAGTTAAGTGAGATAGTTATGTTGAAAATAGAAAGTCAAGTAGAAGTAGATCTGAAATAGATATTACTGCAAGAAAGTAGACATCTAGTGTACAAACCCTACGGGTCTACGACAAATTCCCGAAAGACATTTGCACGAATGCCGTTTGCCCGAAGGCCGATTTACCGAATGGACACTTGCCCGAATGCGACAAATGCCCGAATGGACACTTGCCCGAATGTGACAAATGCCCGAATGGACAATTGTCCGAATGCGACAAATACCCGAATGGACAGTTTGTCGCATTCGGGCAAGTGTCCATTCGGGCAAGTGTCTTTCGGGAAAACGTCCGTCTCCCAAACCCTACAGTATTGTGAATCACGTTTCACCCTAATTAAAGATGTGTTATGTTATAAAATCTGCTTGAGCATGTCGTTATTAGGGAATTTATTTCGTGACAAAAACACCAAGAATTCAGATTTTACCCTACGTGAGAAGCATAAATAAAAAATATAAATAATAAAAAAAATCGTTTTTTTTTTGCCTGGCAATGTTGACATCCGCAAATGCTTTGGTCAGCCAGCATCTATCTAGATTCTCATTCCCTTGGCCTCATCTGGCCAGGATAAATTTCACGCGCCAGCTAAATTGGCACTTAACAAAACAATGCTGATCCCTGGGACATCTGGGAGTGGATTTATTAAACCCCGATTAGCGGCGCCAGACCGGATTACGTCTGCTCGGACGGGTGCGCTCCCTTGTCACGTGGTGCGAGCCACGTGATTAAACGGAAGTCAGTCGGGCGTGAACGCCTGTCACGCGTGTGGGCGCTGGGTGATTTCTCTAATTAGCGGGAGCTGCTCACACGACGGCGGGGGGGGGGGGGGGGTGAAGGACGAGGTACTCGCCTTTAAGGTCGGCGGGGTAACGGGTGGGGTTTGATATGCGGAAGTTAAGGTTTGGTTTTCTGGTGGGGGTTTGGGGTAGGTTCTGGAATTAAACCAGGGGGGGGGGGGCAAATGTTAAGGTTACGTATTTAGGGCATGTTCTATTTTCCGTGTAGGTTTTATTTTGGGGAGATGAAATAAGCTTGGAGTAAGTTTTGTTATTAAAGTTGTGTTGCACTTGGGATTTTCTTACACGTTCAGATAGTTTGATTTTACAATTAGTGAATGTTACATTTTACGATAATGCATTTTCGGTTATGTTTTTAGGGCATTCAAATTTTGTTTTTGAAATTGATTTTTCACATAAAGGTTAGAAGAAAGTTTTAGATATGACATTTGTTTGGAGTGTTCGTGATAATGGGCAAATTATATTTTAAGGACAATATATTTCCGTGGCATATATATATATATATAAATATATATATATATATATTTATATATATATATATATATATATATATATATATATATATATATATATATATATATATATATATATATATATATATATATATATATATATATATATATATATATATATATATATATATATATATATATATATATATATATTGTATTAACTTTTTGCTTAATTGCTTTCATTAAGTAAAAAAAATGAATGGTCTTAATAAAAATAGTAAAGGATACAAAGTTAGAATTTTCAAATCACCATACGCTTGAAAACACACTAGTTTACGTTTTAAAACCACAAAGGATAAAACATAAAATAAGTTTATGGTACTTTAGATAAATATAAAAAAATATATTTTAAAAGTACATTTGCTAAAAATAGTTAACACATGATTATTCATTCGTATCATCATCTCCTTCTCGTTGTCGATGACCAAAAAAAAAATCATGTCTTCTGTTACGTTCGCAACAACAACCGGATGTAGGAGACTCAATCAGCTGAGGCCAGGACCAAAATGGCGGCGTGAGAGAATAGATGTAATAAAAACCTAATCATCCACCGATTAGGGTCAAGCGG